ATCTTTAAGAAAGACATTATTTCGCAAGTGTGTCTCGTCCATTTGAGGTAAATAGGGGTTAACAAAAACAAATGAAGAACAAAGTGTTTAAAACTGTGAGTAGAATTCATTACCCTGTTTTTGTGAATCAGATTTCTCTTGCATGAATATCATACAGCTTTTTCAGTAGTCCTTAGAATCTTCTAGAAACCACAAAGTAAGGAAAACCTACATTTCAAGTGTTAAAAAAGAAGCAAACAATAAAACCTCCTTTATACATCATAAAGAAGGGAAAAAGGGCATGATCCTTTTTTTAAAGCTCATGAATGTCCCCTTTAATTCTCCTTCCTTATGTATGTATGACACACACTGATGCACTCCTCATGCACAGCTTTATCTTTGCTGCACCATTTTTATCTGCTATACTGTATGATGACCTGAAAAATATTTATACTTTTTTCATGGAAATTTCTTCTTTTCTTATTTTCCATGTGTACTTTTTGAAATAATACAGAAAAAAACCTTGCCACAAACCTAAGAAGCTTTCAAGCCATTCATCTTTTAGCGTACCAAGAAAGTCACAGGGAAAAAAAAACAATAAAAACCAACCGCCTTCCTGACATAGTGATTCATCTACATTGAAACTAACTCATTGTTTTTTCAGACTGACTAATCAAGTTAAGAGCTCTCCTACAGAACTTTTCAACTACAGTTTGCACAACAGGATTTCCGTGAGCATGCTGAGCAGATGAGTTTTATAACAGGTCAGATAGAAAGAGCTACAGTCCATTAAAATAAACATTTGCATTGCTCTGGATAATCTACTACACTGCACTATTTTTATGTGATTTGCATTGCTCTTCTAGGGAAATAAAGTTTGTCCATAATTTAACACATGCCCCTCCAGATTAGATAGGGACAGCACTTGAGGTTTGATATTTAAATGCATTAGGCTGGAAAGATTGCGATGACATTCCAGCTGAAAATATTCAGGATTTATTTTGAACGAATTGAGGGGGAAAAAGGTAACCCAGCAAAGGAAGAAACAGCTGCAAAAAAGATGAGAAACAGAGTCACAAGGTGAAATTGAAGGGTTTTTGGGGGTTGGTTTTTTGGTTTTTTTTAAGAAAAAAATGTTTACCATAAATCCTTTATGACTTGGTAACATAAATCTGAATAGTAACCCTACCTGTGAACCAGGAGTCCATAGAGTGGCATTTACCTGGCAGAAACCAAAACCTGGTGCATTTGAAGCAGTGCTATTTAGCAAATTTGGATATTCATATGATTGGGAAACCGCTTCCAAATGCCAAGAGACAGGGAAAGCTTCGAAACAACAGGTATTGATCACCACATGCTGGGAAACATAGTGTAACAGCTTGATGGTAATGACCAGAACTGTCAGCACAGAATGGGTACATCATGCTTTTGGAAAATGAGATTTTCACTCTGGATGAGACCACAGAAGGCAACTGCTCAGGCCTGCAGCAAGAAGTGGCAATGTGCAAATCTGGTTGCCTCTTCGGGTTTTGATTCCAACTGTTAATCTATATTAACGTAACCAAATACTGGTTATAGTATTATATTAAAGTAACCAAATACAACCAAGTGCACAGTCAAAATGGTAGAAAGAGCATGTGAAATGACAAATCCAGTATGACCAAACCACGTATGACAAAGAATTGCTATAAAGTTGTTATACAGATTTTTTTTAAAAGTCATGTGTTTGAATTTCCATAGGGAAATTATGGACCAGGTGGTGATTCTGAATTCCTTCTGAGTCTTTTCTGTCAAAATGATTACTTACACTTTCTTTAACTGTTGTTCTTCAAGATGTGAAGAGGAGGCCACACATGTGCCCTGGCTTCCCTCGTGCTCTGAGCAGAGCATATAAAGGGAGGAGTCTGGCTGCTCACCCTTCAGTCCTTCATAGAATCATAGAAGATTAGGGTTGGAAGAGACCTCAGGAGGTCATCTAGTCCAAGCCCCTGCTCAAAGCAGGAACAATCCCAACATTCGTACTGGAATGTAATTGGGGAAGGTGAACATATGCAACAAATCTCAAGGATTAGTTAGTTACCAGAAGGTGAGTAACTGTTTTTTCTTCTTCAAGTGATTGCATATGTCCATTATACTGTAAGTGACTCCCAAGCTGTTATCAGTGGAGGTGAGGCTAGGAGTCTCATCAGAAGAGGGGACTGCTTTTCACACATTCACATCTTCCCTTGGTGCTGCAGTAATTGCATAGTACCTAGCACACATACCAATGTCAACAATAGGGATGTTTCCTACAAAAGCAGTGGAGGTTGAATGCACCCGAGCTGAGTGAGCTGCCAACTGTTCAGGTGGTGTGATACCCTTAGCAGTACAGCACATAGCAATGTAGATGTCAATCCATTGAGAGAGCAGTTGTGCAGTAACAGGATGACCTCCCCTTCATTCTGCATAGGACACAAAGAGCTGTCAAGAAAACCAAGAAGGTTTTGTTTTATACTGTGGAGCACGTTGCTTTTGCGCGTGGGGGCGGAAGGACCTGTAAGAATATTGCCTGATTTTCACCTCAATCAGATACTACTCTGGAAAGAAAAATAGGGTGTGGACTAAAATGCACCTTGTCCTTGTAGGATATTGTATTTGAAGGATCAGTTACTAGGGCATGCAACTCCCCCACTCTCTTCACAGGAGTGATGGCTACTAAAAAGGTTACATACAGCAAGAGGCTAAGGGCTTGAATGGAAGTCCCATACGAACTGACAGATCTAAATTCAGGTCCCAAAGAGGAGTTGGATCCCTGATAGATAGGAATAGACTACCTAAGACCTTTTATGAACATGTTTGTCAAAGGACTAGAGAAAACAGTCCTTTCAGTAACCAGGGGCATTTCCTGTTCTACTGAACTGTGAACAAATTCACTGCAGAAATTCCCCCTACTCAAAGCTATGATCTTAGAACAGCTGTATGGGAGACAGTCATGATCCACGCTGAATTATCTGCTTCAGCAGTCTGCCAGGCCATTTTGAACTCCCGGCAGGTGTGATGCTTTGAGAGTTTACTTATTCAGTATGCAGAAATTCCACTGCCTGGCTGCCTCGGGACACAGCCCATCTAAGCAGGCATCCCCACTGCTCGTTCACATAAAACATTGCTGTGGGGTGAGCGCTTTCATGTTCCTGCCCTGGATGTGTGGCAGGAACTGCTGACACACTCTGGATAGTGCACATCACTCAAGAACAGTTATGTGTAGTTTGCCCTCATGAGTAGACCACAGGCCCTGAGCTTGCAGATGGCCCAAATAACACTCCCACTCGATAGCAGAAGCAATTGTCCCAAAGATCATAGAAGGGAGAGTTAGTGACCCTGCAGGTATTGTCTTGGTTCATCCACCAATCCATGCACAACAAGACCTTGGCTGGGATGCACACTAACTTGTCCAGATGATGCACCTGATCTGAGATAGAGATGGGGTGGGAGAGGTGGGTCTCATAAGTACATGCCACCATGTTCCCCCAGAACCGGAGACAGTTCCTTGCAGAGGTTTGGGGGTAGCTTTTGAATGATGCACAAAAGTCTCATAGGAAACCATAGGCCAAGGAGCTCCCTTGCACTAACTGAGCAAGCTCCAATGCCGGGCAAAAAGCAACTTCCCAGAGGCAGGGGCACCAGAAGGGGGAAAAGGGGCCATGGACCCTCCCACTTTTTACCACCCATAAGGGTGAGCAACGGAGGGGAGGGGAAGGAGAGGAGTGAGCAGGAGGTGGAGCCTTGGGGAGAAGGGGTGGAGAGGAGTGAGGCAGAACTCCCACCACTCCTGATCTAAGGCACTCTTCATTTTTGTTTTGAAGGCACAGCTGATCAGATACCTGTCTCTGACGTGACCCTCAAACAGAGAGAGTGAGGTTTACTAATGGGCATCGGCTTGCAACACCCGAAGCACAGCTTGAAGCCAGGGGACCTTGCTATAGGCTCCCATGGTACCAGGGGAAGCTCAGACATGCCGCCTATCCGAACAATAATAAAATACAATTACAACAAAGAAAAGGTGCTCAGAGGGACCAAACCAAGTACCACTAACTAACAACTAGATATCTAATTAACTTAGATTAATTACATGTTCACAGAGACATGAGGACTATAAAGCACAGTACATGCTCTGAACTCTGACAGCAAGAAGGAAATGTAGGATGGCTCCACCAGTTATAGTATCAGCTCAGAGTGCAAGGGAAGCCAGGTTGCATGTGTGACTGTCCATATGTGTACAGCTAGGGAAAACTCTCTGGAAGTGGTGCACAAGGTGCGCACATACCTGCTCAACTACTTGAGCAGGTAAAATTATTATAATATATATAAAATATTCTGAAGAATTCTATCTGCCAAACACACAGATATATGCTCATGTTAACAACATTTTTGATAGCTCATTGGACAGAACTCCATGATTAGAAAGTAGAGCTAGATAATATATTGTTCCATGGGCAGCTTGAGAAAATAAGAAGAGAAGCATAGAACTGAAATTAATCTATGTAGCGTGAAGAAAGTTTAATTGGACAGAAGGTTGCAAAACAAGGGAGGATTTGACAATACTTCCACAGCAATGTTCTCAAAGGAGACCTCTTTTTGTCCAAGCAGAACTTTGCGTTCACAAATACACAGTTTTCCCAAACTGTCTCTAGGAGACACAAAAGATAGACTTTACGTATACAAAACACAAATATTTATGTGCTGGTCTGACTCACAGCTCAGAAACAGGAAAGAAAAAGCAAGCGTTAGGAATCTGGATCCCCTCTCATTTAGAGGTAATAAATATGGTTGGTTTTCATGTGTGTGGGTGGTTATGAGAGTGAGTGTGTCCAGAAATTGCATGTGCAAGTGTTTATGTTCTGAAAATTTTATAGAAATAGTAACATGCAACATTAATCAAAACATCAAACCTGTTGTACTCTCAAAAAGCAGCAAACCTGAGCCACAGAAAAAAAGATACTTTGTGAAGACAGGGTACAGGCCATAATGCTAAGACTACTCACTTGATAAGTGGGAATTGCTTCTCTATCAAGGGACCGTGTCACCGAGATTTCCCCAGTGTTCTCATTGATTTTGAATGCTCCTTTTGGCTCTTGATCCACTCCCTTTCCAGAAAGTCGAAACTTTGATCCCTCTGTTCCGTCGCTGTCGATAACCTGTTAGGTGAAAGTAACAAGTTAGGACCCAGCTCGACTGAACTGATCAAAAAACTCTTATAAAACGTAGTAATTCAACAGAAACTATTTTAAACTTTACCCTAATGAGAAACTATATAATTAATTCCTTGACATTAAAAATGAAGCTTTTTAAAAAATAAATAATACCCCCCCCCACACACACACACACACTTTAAATCATCCAGAAAACAGAGTGAAATTTTAGTATCTAATCCTGAAAAAAATTGATGTCAATAGGATTAGGTCAAAAGTCGGTTAGTTACTAATCTATTCCTTCTGCCCCCTGCAAGAGGAACTCCAATTATCCAAGCTACTGTTATCCTATCTATCCTATCCACTACAGTACTTGCCCACCAGCTAGGGGTGGTTGTGATTTGATTTGAGTTTTAATTTAAACTGAAAAAAACAACAACAGACATTCCATTTAAGTGGGACAAAATTTGGAGACTTGATTTCACTCTAAATAGTTAAAAAAATATCTCAGTAACAACTGCCTACCACACAATGATTCCTAATTCATTTCTAAACAATTTAAAGTGAGACTGACACAGCCCTCCCCCAGTTTTAAAGCAAGGTAAACCCTCCTAATTAAATATTTGAGTGCCCTGCCCAGGACATTGCTTAGCCATACAGATGGAATTCCTGTTCTTTTCATGTGTCTATTCTTGATAACACTCCCTCTTTTCTCCATTTGAGAGAAAGTCTAAACATTCTTTTTCAGGTGTGTTCCACATTAGTGGAAGCAGCATGTATAAACTCCTAGAGCTACGTGAAGTGTCTTACAACCTAGATGCTTTGCAAACTTGTATTTACACACCAGAACCTAAAAGGATTATAAACTAATCTTGCCCTATTATGCTGACAATCTTGCCAAATCATTCTTTCCTATTGCTGTTTTCATGTTATTTTTGTTTCTACCATTTCGTTAATGTTTCCACAGAAACATTAAGTCAAATATTTATGTGCTGGTCTGAATCACAGCTTAGGAAAAAGCAAAGGAAAAGTACTGGTATTAGGAATTCTGGATCCACTCCCATTTAGAGTTAATAAATGCACAATGTCCCTGAGGAAATCCATGTTTGTTGGCCTGTTACTGTGGGTTCAGCAATGCCAGTTTGCAGATTATTGGGCAGTATGATTTTTGGCTAACCCATACAATCATTATTCCATTTTTTTATTATTTTAATTGAGAGAAAATCTGCCACAAGACAATACTCTGCAAGAAAAAGAATGTCCGAAATAAAGTTTCTCTGGGGGTCGGGAGGGCAGAATTTCTGTGTTATAAATGTGTTCCACCTTCTTTGTCTTCTTCTCAAAACATAAATGGATTCCCCATCCTCATCCAATTCTGAATATGCCACAGCAAAACACAGAGTCAGGATAGGTCCATGCAGATCTCCCCTTCCAACCAACAATCAGGCAAAGCTCGCTTGGTGTCACGGTCCTTGCTCCCTAGCAGGGCCTAGGATCCCACTTTTGTCATTTTCTTAGGAGAGGGGAGAGCTGCTGTCCTTCTGGTCTCTACACCCTCTCTTCTGGGGCTTGATTCTGCCATCAGTTCAACACATGCAACTTACACTCAAACCTACAAAACCAGAAAGTCTTTTATCTGCCCTCCCATCCCTTTCCAAATGGTAGTCCCTCCTAGAGTGCACCACTGCAACAATCAATCCCTACTAACAAGACTACGGATCAAACTGCCCACATGCTATCATGGTTCTCAGAGTGTGCACAGCTAACCTGGAGGTGAGCGGTATCAGAACAGCAGAACATCTCTCAGAGGCTCATCCTTGATGTAGCGATGGAAAGCATGGAGCACACGGAAGCCTGAAGTATCATTTTCACCTGACTGCTATTATTTGGAACTGGCAGCGACAGGACTTTAAAAAAAGTCATTTTTAAGAAGTTTTGTTTTTTTACTGTTTAATTAGCCACAAGAGGGAGCTACTACATGCTCCCAGGAATATAACAGGAACATTAACATCTTCTAATTAAGATGCTCATGTAAAGCTTCCATAAATCAAAGAAAGTGCATTTCCCAGTTCACACTAAACTCAATACAGATGAAAAGTTTAATAAAAATCAGACTTAATTTGCCATATGTTTCAGAGCTTCAACAAGAATAAGGAGGAAAGAACAGGATGACTTTCTAACATCGCTTCTCATAAACTGGTTACTAAGACTAGTGTCTTAAATAGTACCATTCATGCCAAGATCTCAACGTATATCACAAAGGTGGATGTTATGATTCCCACTTTACAGATGGAGAAACCGAGGCACAGAAAAGTTAAGGCTAAAATTTTCAATACTGGGTGCTCCCAAATAAGTGGTCTGATTTTCAGGGGAGCTGAGTACCTGCAGCTAAGAATGGGCAAATCATATCAGGAGCTTGCATATGGATTTAGGAGGTCTGTAGGTACCGCAGGTTGAAAACTGCGGCTTAACATCAGGTCTCTTGATCGTTAGTCTCCTATTTTATCTATTAGCTTACACTGCACTGGGTATTTAAGAGTACAAACATTATTTGAGTATAATGGAAACAGCATGTATTACACTCCAGAAATTAAAAACTTTCTTAGCAATAACTTATAAGAAGCCAAATAGAGCCAGGTTTTACAAGATGCTGAGTTCCTCTTGTGAGGTGCAAGTCACCCTCAGCTGCCATTAATTTCAATGGGATTTGAGAGTTCCCAAAACCGTGCAGAGGATCCAGATCTCAGTTAGTGATCATAGAATCATAGGACTGGAAGGGACCTCAAGACATCTAGTCCAGTCCCCTGCACTCATGGCATGACTAAGTATTATCTAGACCATCCCTGACAGGTGTTTGTCTAATGTACTCTTAAAAATCTCCAATGATGGAGATTCCACAACCTCCCTAGGCAATTTATTCCATTACTTAACCACCCAGACAGTTAGGAAGTTTTTCCTATTGTCCAATCTAACCCTCCATTGCTGCAATTTAAGCCCATTGCTTCTTGTCCTATCCTCAGCGGTTAAGAACAACATGTTTTCCCCCTTCTCCTTGTAAAAACCTTTTATGTACCTGAAAACTGTTATGTCCCCTCTCAGTCTTCTCTTTTCCAGACTAAACAAACCCAATTTTTTCAATCTTCCCTCATAGGTCAAGTTTTCTAGACCTTTAGTCATTTTTGTTGCTCTTCTCTTTCTCCAACTTGTTCACATCTTTTCTGAAATGTGGTGCCCAGAACTGGACACAATACTCCAGTTGAGGCTAAATCAGCGCAGAGCAGAGCAGAGCAGAGCAGAAGAATTATTTCTTCTTTCTTACAAAACTCCTGCTTATTCATCCCAGAATGATGTTTGGTTTTTTTGCAACAGTGTTACACTGTTGACTCATATTTAGCTTGTCATCCACTATGGCCACCAGATCCCTTTCCGCAGTACTCCTCCTAGGCCAGTGATGGGCAACCTGCGGCCCGAGGGCTGCAGGGACATGTTGGCCGTCGCTTCCCGCAGCTCCCATTGGCCGGCAACGGCGAACTGTGACTACTGGAAGCTGTGGGTGGCCATGCCTGCGGACAGTTTGTAAACAAACTGTCTGGTGGCCCACCAGTGGAGTACCCTGACGAGCCGCGTGCCACAGGTTGCCCACCACTGTCCTACGCAGTCATTTCCCATTTTGTATGTGTACAACTGATTGTTTCTTCCTAAGTGGAGTACTTTGCATTTGTGCTTATTGAATTTCATCATATTTACTTCAGACCATTTCTCCAGTTTGTCCAGATCATTTTGAATTATAATCCTATCTTCCAAACCACGTGCAACACCTCCCAGCTTAATTTCATCCACAAACTTTATAATTGTACTCTCTATGCCAGGGGTCGGCAACGTTCGCCACGCGGCTCGCCAGGGTAAGCACCCTGGCGGGCCGGGCCAGTTTTATTTACCTGCTGACGTGGCAGGTTCGGCCGATCGCGGCCCCCAGTGGCCGTGGTTCACCGTCCCGGGCCAATGGGGGCGGCGGGAAACCACGGCCAGCACATCGCTCGCCCGTGCCGCTTCTCGCCGCCCCCATTGGCCCGGGACGGCAAACCGCGGCCAGTGGAGGCCGTGATCGGCCGAACCTGCCGCGTCAGCAGGTAAATAAAGCTGGCCCGGCCCGCCAGGGAGCCGTGTGTCGAACGTTGCCAACCCCTGTTCTATGCCATTATCTAAATCATTGATGAAGATATTAACAGAACAAGACCCAGAACTGATACCTGCGGGACCCCACTCATTATGTCCTTCCAGCATGACTGTGAACCACTGATAACTACTCTCTGTGAACAGTTATGCACCCACCTTTTAGTAGCTCCATCTAGGTTGCATATCCCCGATTTGTTTATGAGAAAGTCATGCAAGACAGTATCAAAAGATTTACTGCAATCAAGACATACCACATCTACCACTTTCCCCCTATCCACAAGGCTTGTTACCTTGTCAAAGAAAGCTATCAGATTGGTTTGACACAATTTGTTCTTGACAAATCCATGCGGACTGTGACTTATTGCCTTATTATATTCTAGATGTTTGCAAACTGATTGCTTTATTATTTGCTCCATTATCTTTCCGGGTACAGAAGTTAAGCTGAGTGGTCTGTAATTTCCCGGGTTGTCCTTATGTCCCTTTTTATAGATTTCAGAAGATTGGAAAGGGCAAATATAGTGCCAATCTCTCCTGTCTTCCATGACTTTTCAAAGATAATTGCTAATGGCTCAGATATCTCCTCAGTCGGCTCCTTGAGTATTCTAGGATTCATTTAATCAGGCCCTGGTGACTTGAAGACATCTAACTTGTCTAAGTTATTTTTAATTTGTTCTTTCCCTTTTTTAGCCTCTGATCCTACCTCATTTTCACTGGCATTCACTATGTTAGACAGCCAATCGCTACCAACTTTCTTGTTAAAAAACGAAACAAAGAAGTCATTAAGCACCTCTGTCATTTCCACGTTTTCTGTTATTGTCCCCTCCACCCCA